GTCTTGACGTCTTGTATTGGTCTTTTGACTGGACGTCTTGTATTGGTCTTTTGACTGGACGTCTTGTATTGGTCTTTTGACTGGACGTCTTGTATTGGTCTTTTGACTGGACGTCTTGCATTGGTCTTTTGGGGTCTTGACTACAACACTGAATATGACAACAACTTGTGATGCTACACATGCAGAAGATATACACAGCAATTTTCAAGGCCAAGCTCTCGACCAATGGCAAGGCACAGCTTTTTTGTCTTCTCGTTTTCTTTTGATACACACACGAAGCCTCAAGACTAATACCTTTTCACATGACCAGTGATGCAGACTCACGTCTAATTAAAATGACTGCTAAACAATATGGAAAAATAACTAGAGAGCCATACAATGTATGTGCATGTATGTGCAGGAGGCATGATATTACAGGCAAGATAATCCTAGAACTCCTTTCAAACAGGAATTGACACAGTAGTAAATCTTCAAAGCTTTAATACGAATTTTCCTTTCTTCTCAGGACATTGTCCCCCAAAAATCTCCATTTCGAAATGCAAATATTACAATAAAATAAACGTGCACGAATCTGTACCCACATGTAAATAAACACACTAAGATTTTGAAATCAACCCTTTCCAAATTTATACCACATGCCAAATTTGGATTGAGCATGCTGTGGTAAATTAAAAGTTCTGAAAATGGGTAAATAAGAAAACAAATGAAAACAAAGATTTTCAGTGGAATATGAAGTCAGTCCTTTTTAATCAATGTTTGCTATTTGCAAAACAATTTAACTTAATATGAAATTCATGAACCCGCAAATGGTGCCTCGTATCATGCAAAGCCACTCAATGAAAGAGTGAATGTGAATGGAAATTAATGCAAGATTTCCTTGAATGCAATACTTAAAATGATATAACAACACCTCGGCCCAAACTGAGTCAATGCAATGGTTCAACCGCGCATACACTCTCAAATTCATTGGATGATTTTGACAGGTGCTTGTGGCAAACATACCTTAGCAAAAGTGGAAATTTGCAAACTGCTTGAAATGGAAGCCAGCTGTACAGAATCTGAATTGACAGCAACAGATGGTGAACCCTGGACATCGTATGTACATGTAACCTACTTAGCCCTGTCAAACTACTTGTACCAAGTACTCAAGTCTATTTTTATCTTTTCAGCGTAGATTCTGCAATGATTCCCATTTCCTAAAGTCAAAAAAAAAAATCCCTGTTGCAAAATAAAGATTCTAAACAGGATAATGTACTACAATTTACTTTGGTGGGGTTTGAAGCACAGACACTAAAATAAGTGTCAAGTAGTCTACCCAATGTAAGGGCACACCTGAGTACTATGAAATTTAATTATATCCACCTACTCACTTGAGAATCAGCATAAAATATCCTACAGTAATTCTCCAAAATGCAATACATTTTGCTGAATACAATGGAGGATGTATAATATTTCTTATTTGGTGAGGTGAAAGGTCGAAGGTGAGGTCAAAGTCCTTTAAATTTGGCCTTTTATATAAATGTATAAAAATTAAAGAAATAATCTACCTTAAATATGAAATTTTTCATTAAATGTGTGACCTTTCTATTCCTTATAAAGAGATGTATCGACATGCGACCTATAAACTCTGAGTCTCACAAACAATCAGGATGACCTTTGACACTGACCTTCTATTGTAGCCCTTTCCTCCTCAGACGTTGTGTTGTCATTTAGCATGACCTCTTCAGCTTTGCATATCCACTCTAAGTAGCCATTCAGTTCCTTGTCAAGTTGTTGCTGTCGTCGCATTTTTAGGAATTCTCGTCTGTTTTCTACTCGCTCTCTCTCTTTCGCAAACTCTCTATAAGTATGAAAGCAAATAATATAAACTCTAATGATGAAGGAGTGGAATTTATGTGAACATTTCCTTCAATCTTTGTCCTGCCATCATCTCACACTGTCTGGGCTATCACTAAATTAGATTTACATCAAATATATAAAATACCAAACCAGCTTGACGATTAATGGTAACGATGTCTGCATTGCCTGTTGTGACATCTTGTGTTTGAATCTCTACAATGCAATGCAAGAATTCATTTTTAAGAACTAAAACAAACTGACAAAGACAACCTGAATTTAAGTTTACAAATGAAAGAAAGAAAAAAGCCCTCTAGAACAGATAATTCATTTATGACCTTTCGACTGCATTTTTAGAGTGTAACCAAACAGCAGTAAAGCTTTTGTACTGGAGTACCTTAAAGCTTGTTCTTGTACTCAAGAAATCACAGTCATCCTGGCAAGAAGTACATGTAGTTTTTTGCTCTTTAACTTCGAACCAGGAAATACAAACATTTTTATAAATTTTACTAAAAACTCTTGAAATTGCCTCTTTGGGTTTAAATTAACCAATTAATGGGTGGTCAGGTGTAGTGAATAATCACTCCAATAAAGAAGTGTGCGTGCTTGGAATATCCTATCATTCTACTTTAAATTGAGCTTGTTTTGGGGGTAGAATAAAAGAAATCAAAAAAGAAGGAGCAGAATAAAAGTATTGCAATGGTAGTCATTTCTATGCCTTTAGGTAGTCACGATGCTTTCACTTTCTTCATAAGATCATACAGAGTTTAAACTGAGTATTATGTGGCATTAAAAAGTTGACTGTGATTGTATACAGGTGAATTGCTGGTCAGTGTGCCAGTCTTAAAAGTTGAAGAGTGACAATCAGAGATATTAATATAATGCCTTGAATGTAATGATGGATCAGGAGCATTCTGTAATACTTTCGATGCGGTGGCTTAAGTAAATAGCAAGCATTAGTAGAACAAATATTTAAACTATAATCTTTTGGCTGAAGTAATCAATAACTCAAAGAAAAAAGTACTTTATCTCAAAAACTGGAGTATCGTGAAACTATGAACATGATTGTTAGTATGTCAATCTCAAGTAAACTTTGTTGACTGGAGCTCAGAAAAAAAAATGGAGAATGGAGATATTATTACTCACCCACTCAAGACACCAAGGATGAGGTTCAACATGAAGAATGAGCCAAGGATGATGAGGGGAATGAAGTACAACCAGACAAAATAAGGTCCTTCTGAATCGTTACACTGTCACAATCAATAGAGAAAACATATATTCAATCGCTTAAAAAGTTGAACTTTCAAAAACTTCAAGTTTTCAGAGAATTCAATTATTTGTCTGCAAGAAAACTGAATAAATCAAGCTCAGCTACATTTCAAAATTGTTGTTAGGTTGATGAAACTTTCATATTAAAAGTGCTTAGTGATGCTAAACTGTCTAAAGCTGAACTGCCCAGTATACACACCCAACCCAGTTCAATACTACTATACATAAACCAAAGCTGCTGTGTATTTGAGTCAAAAAGAGAGAAGCATGCTAAACTGGGACTGAAATGTGAATTGGTGTGTTGTGTTACGTTACATTAACCCTAACACTCCTCAGTCCTCTGACAGGTGAAGGATTGAGGAGTGTTAGGGTTAATTAAGAACATAATTATGAACACAGTTTGCACCAGTGTGAAATGGGTGGAGTGATTTTTGTAACTTACGTTGTACATGATGTCAGTCCAACCTTCCATGGTTATACATTGGAACACGGTCAACATTGCAAACAGCATGTTGTCAAAGTTGGTGATTCCAAAGTTAGGACCTTCCCAATATTCAGAGCACACAGTACCCTCTGGACACTCGCGACCAGATGTTTCATTGCCTTTTCCACATACTTGGGGGTCCTCGCCTTCTGTCTCAGATATCTTTCCTGGTGTCAGGGAGGGAACAGAAAGAAAGGAAGCAGGAAGTCACACTGATGACAACTGAAAGTGTGGGCAGAGACCAAGAACAAAACTCTAAGTGATGGGTGCAGTGAGACTGGAGTCTAGTTTCATGAACCACAAAGTACAAGAATGTACTCAGAATAAAATCAAAATCCACAGGGAATCAGTCACTGCTTGGCTGATACCCTGTTTTAGCTGAGCAAAATGTTTTTCTGAGGTTCGATTTTATGGTAAGCCGCTCCAGGTATCCACCAAGAGTTGAAGTGCACCAGTGACCTTCAGCGGCAAAGAAGCAATCTGCTGGCAGAAAGTTTCCAAACTGGGCTTGGCTATACACCCAGTGCATGTAGCACGACCATAAATTCCAACAGAAATTGATTGTACATGTTCGGGACACCCTGCGTCAACCACAAATGAATCTGCATGCGCAACAGCTGAGTTCCCACCACAGGACTGTCTCGGGTACGTAAAAAATGCCCCCACTTGTTCCCGCACAAGCGGATAGAAGGATTTGGGATTCTCAAGCATGTACCTAGAGTACCAAACCTATAACAAAGTGCCTGTACAGAACCTTTGCATGGCAGCCATGCTGCAGGGCAGTTCTTTTGTTCCACAGGGAAATCTCCTTTGTGCATACCCTGTGGAACAAAAGCACTGGCCTGCAAGATGACAGCCATGCAAACCCTCTATACACAGATGAGGGTGATGAAATTCTGCATCATAACAACTAACAAATACAAAACAAAATTGTTTCCCATGGACGGTTTACACTGCGAGTGGACAAACGATGCAACTGAGTGATGAACCAAGGTATCAAGGGTGCTTTTTCAAAGATACTGTGCTGACAAAACTCATTGTTGGCAATGGTTCTGTTTGGTGTGACATGCTGGATTTGGTTAGGAAACCGTTGCAGTGAAAATTGGCATGTTTTGTTGTACGTTGGATTCTTCCTGTGGTATGACGTACAGTTTATGTGGTTGTATTGTGGAAAGTTATTAACATCAAAGATATGCATGCATACAAAATAAGTTTCCGCCTTGAGTGAAAATATAAAATATCTGGTGAGATACTTACGCATGTGATTGTCTGTGCAAATGGGCTCTCCAGGAGTTAGATGGGATAATCTGGAGAACTTTCATGAGACTATTTAATGAATTGGCCTTTCAGTGAAGCCAATAGTATGCTAGCTTATGATTGGTAAAGATAGTACTGCTTAAGATCACTGTGCAAGATGGGGACAGAAATACTTGTGATTTGTCAGAGAACTGTTCTGAACTCACCAGTGCTTGCACCATAAGCGTCAGCTTCGAAGCAGGTGTAGTGGAATTTACCCTGGAAAAACTCCATGCCCGTGATGGCAAAGATGATAATGACAAACAAAATAAGCAGACCAATTTGGAGAAGGGGAGCCATGGCTTTGAGGATGGCTTTGAGGACAACTTGCAAACCTGTCGGCGAAGGACAAGATGAAGGAAGAACAATTAATGTCTATTCAAAAACAAGAAATGAACAGCACAAAAAATAACGTCAGTCAACAGAAATGACTCTACTTTTGTTATCAGGGTAGTAACCAGAACCTGGCATACAAGAGGACACAATTGTTACACGGTTAAATACACGTACACATACATTTATGTGCAATGCTTTTCAATAATGTACAGGTAGCTTACTCATGAGTGGACACTTTAGTGGAACAAAGAAACACCACCTCTCTTTTATCCTCCATTCAGGAATGGGAACATGTGAAGTGAATTTGTGAGTGGCGTCTTCTTATTCATCTTTCGATCCCCATCTGACTGTCCCTGAACTTACTTGGGATGCCTGATACTAATTTCAGGGGACGAAGCACTCGTATAGCTCGCAGAGTTCGAAGGTCTGGCGCACTGGATGCATCCCCTTCCCCTTCCACTAACCCCCCTATGAAGGTTACAAATCTGCAGTGATGACGAGGGGGAATTATAGAGGGAGGAAGGTGGGAGAGGAAGTTAGTTTGAGGGAAAGTTATGGAGTGTAAATTATTTGATCAAGATCCCATCTCACTGCATTGATTTTACCACATCTACAGAGCTCCTTTCTTCATTTTTAGTTTGAATCCAACCTTGTGCACACACAGCACTGCACTGTCACTCTTACACGCTTTTCTTTTTCTTTAAAACATTTTCATCACTTTTTTGTTCGGGATGTTACATCAACATCAAGATATTTCAGGACTCTGCAATAGCCTGAACTTAACTGACTGTCTTCTGCAACCTACTGTGTGGAAAACGGTAATGAGATGGCACCTTTAATGTTAAGGACTTCTGAATTAAAACAAAACTTTATTTTCTGGTAACATTGTATCAGACGGCACTTCTTCACATTTATCTCAATGTACAAGTATTATGGGATGTTTTTGACAATAAACAAGTACACAATACCAACACTGTCAGTAATACCAAATTTTACAAGCACCATATATTTCAAATCTACAGTTTTGTTAGAAATACCAAGTGAGTTTTACAAATGTACCATTTCAAATCTGTGCTGTTAATAAAATTTATCTTTACAATTAATTAAATAGTTAACTAAAACAAGATTTTCAACTGAGACTAATTTTTCTCTGAGACACATTAGCATTACAAATGAAAATATATTACAACAAAATATAGGTAAGAACTACATGTAGGCCTACATGTAGGTATTTGGGTCATGTACAGAATCATGAAAGAAAAGATATGTACTGAAACATATATATTGGACATGAAAAAACACAGAAATAAAATGTGCAGTTGGACATCAAATATAAACATAAATTTAAATGGGACATATTAGCTCACACCTCGCAATTGAGGACAGTTAGCATATTATTTCACAAACTGTCCAAGACTGAGACTATTCACAAGCCAAAATACAAATGGTAAAATGTTTCTCAATAAGACGGGCAGAAAAATTTCTTTTGAAATGTTGTCTTAGGAATAAAGTTATCACTTTCTGATAAAAACGCAAATCGAAGTTCTTCTGCTTTGTTATAAAACTAAAAAATGTGAGTCTATGTCAGGTTGTGTGTTTGTTCACTTGATTTAACATGAATTTTGGAAAGAGAAACATTTTTCTTTTTCACGGCTGTGACTTACTTTGGAATCCTGAGACTAATTTAAGTGGTCTTAAAACGCGCATTGCCCGAATGGCAGGTTGATCAAAAGATGGCACAAGAACTGTCAAAAGACTGAAGGGTTGAAGATAGTGACGATCATGACGTTGATGACGATGATGATGCAAGGCAAAGCAACCCCCCCAAAAAAGGGCAAAGTAAAGAGGGAAACACAAGCAGAAGCAAAAAGATTAAATGAGTTCATCGAGCACTATGTCTGTATTCCTGAGTTCATCGAGCACTATGTCTGTATTCCTGAGTTCATCGAGCACTATGTCTGTATGCCTGAGTTCATCGAGCACAATGTCTGCATTCCGGTATCTTCATAGTCATGACTTGAAAATCTACTCTCTTACTTGGATCAAGCTAGTGTGAGGAAAAGCTGAAGACAACTGTTCAGAAAGTGTCTCAGCTATTGTCAACGCTTGTTGTGACAAATTTTTTTGAGACTAAGAATGCATGTTATTCAGTACTTGAAAAAAGTGAAAATAAGCAGAGTGTAGCAGTCAGGCAGAAAAAGCTGGCCAAGAAGGAAGTAAATACAAAGTAAATGCAACATAAAGCAGTAGGCATCTGAATGCCTCTTTGGGTCTTGGTTAAAAATTTCTGTTAAAGAGAAACGTTTTAGAAGTAGCACAATCAGTGACAATGTTTTGAAAGCTAAGATATGCAGGAATGCCGATGATTAATAGCTCTCAATGCTGGTAAACATCTACAAGTATGAACTAACAAACAGCACTTAAGATATTTACATGCTCTGTTATGTTATGGAGATCCATTTAACCAGCTGCTCTATGTGAATGGATGCATTTTGGTATATGGTACAAGCTACATGCTTCAGATAAAAGGGTTCTCTTTCTTGTCTTGTCTATCACAAAGTTCTATTGTCTAATCCATTATACAATTTGATCTGACTTCAGGCTTAATGATCCCTTATAATGGACAGGAGGGGATTTATTTAATGCACTTGTGTGGACACAAAGTAAGTTGTAAATGTAAGTCACAATATTCTGGCTACGGTAACTTATCTGACCATAAAATGTCACATTCACAACACAATTTTCAACGTGGCAGCCTGTTGGATGCAATGACAGCTGATGTCCCAAAGTCTGAGACAACGTAAACAACTAAAAACGAAGCCTTTTTTTTCATTAACTGCCTCAAAGGAAAGATTATGTCGCCTGGAATAATACTGCTCACCGAGTAAACCTTCATCTTTCAATATGCCTTCATTTCACACGAAATTCCAGGTGAAATTCGAAGTCTTTTAAGTGGCTACTCATCTTCCGCGCGTTCTTCGTGTTGGCTTGACTTTTGACCTTACTACTAGCTGGACGTTACCACATTTTTGTGAGGGGTGTCGCAATTGCAGCAAATACAATCAAACGCTAATTATAGCTCTCCAGTTTTGCTCCATAGCCTGTTTTTAATTACTACCCGCGCAAAAAGTAAAACAGTTCAATGAGAATAGCCTTTATTTTTGACGTAAAAAAATAAAAATTGCAATGTACCAAAAATACTGGAATGAACAAACGACTAAACAATGAAGTGATATGAACGATTGAAATTAACAAGAAAGTAAATGAACAAAACGTTCATGACATTCATATCATTGAAACCTGTTGTTTATCATTTACAAAAAATCGTCAAAAAAGCCGATTTTTGATATGATTTTCAGAAAAGGGACTTACCCGGTAACTACAACTACAAAATCCATCAAGTTCCATCCATTGCGAAGATACGACCCTTCGTGTAATACTAAACCAAGGGCGGTGATTTTGATGCACGCCTCGAGGCAGAAGATGGCCAAGAAGTAGATCTCCGTATTTTCCTGAATACGAACAATTAAGTTAATCGTGTCATGTTGTTCCATCTCATTTCTAAAAAGTCTTCATGTTAAAAAAGAAGATATTTGTCTTTATTGGCTAATCAGCTGTAATGAAAGCACGAGGAAAATTTCTGGTGTTGCAGCTGTTAAGTTTTAAATTTTTGCAAATGATAATTTACGTCACACGAAGGGGGCCATTTCCATTTTCGAATAAATGATGTTCTTTGTTTATTACCAAAGTTTCTCTTTCAAATCAAAGTTTGTGTGATTGACCACCCACTTTTGTTTTATAATATACATGTACAATGAAAATCAAACCAAGTGCGAATTCAGCTTGGCTTTACTTTTTCATGTTAAGAGTAAAATCCCCTCACATAGGATTAATGGTGTCGGACAAGGACGCAGAATGAAAATACGCATGTGCAATATGACACCTTACCACCTGCGTTCGCGTTGATTTCACAGGTGGCGTTTCCATAGGTCTATGACAGTCTTGACAAGGACTCAGTAGTCTGCAATACGCAGAGTCCAACCAATAAAGCGAGAGAATTATCTTTAAATGTAAGCAGTTTGCGAGTTGTTGACATTTTCGTATACGGAGATCTCGTGAAGTGGAACGGCGTTTTGTCATGGGAGGAGAGCATTTTAGGGTTAAGTGCACGTTTTCGTTTCAGTAAGTTTTAGCTTTTTGAAAATCCGACTTTTTTTTCCAATAGTTAAAAGTTACTGAAACGCAACACGAACTCAAAAAATTAATAAATGTGTTATTAACAGTATACATATTTATTTATTTATTATCTTTTTTGCCCAACTTTTGACGTTTATTGTGATTTAAAATGACGACACATCTAGCTTTGGCTATTTTCAGTTGTTTTTATAAAGTCCATGGTGTATTTTATGTGCATGTTTATGCCGGTGGGTTCTGGAAATTTGGCATTTTGCGGGTAATTTCAGTGGAAATTCGAACATACACTTTGCTTTTTAATAATTAACCTCATTATATTGAATTTTGCTAAAGTGGAATGATTGTAGGCGTCTAACAGTAATTGGTTTTCGAATGAAAAGTTATTTGCTCACAAGAATTGACTCAAAAACGACTGTGCGAACGACCGTAACAATGTTTGCTTTTCATTGTTCTGTTTTCATGATAAAAAATACATTTATGCAAACTTTGGGTTAACTAATAACTTTGTAGAGAAGATTTCTGGGAAACAGTAATTCAAGAGATTAGCAAAACACAAGAATTCTTTTACAAATGGAAGAATCAGGACATCGGTCATTATTTGAGACTGGTTTGGGAAGACATTTGCTACACAACAGCTTCGATGTTCGCGTTTCATCCTGCGCCAATAGAGCGGAGTTTAACACACTCTGGATGGCAGTCGAGAAATGATTGCTGGTGCTTTATCAGGCCTCTGGCGTGGACTCTTTAGTCCGCGGCCGGATAGTCAGGGTCACTTTTGGCCTTTTGCCCTGTATATGCATATTTCATACCCTTGATACCAAGTGCTGTCAAGCAAGTGCAAAGGCAGTCAGATAAAATTCTGATACTAGTTTGGCCAATTGTGTCGCTCGCAATGCATCACCTCACACAATTAGCCTACGTGTGCTTTGAGTTGGGAAATTCAATACTTTTCCGAGGTGACAAGGTGACTACTCACAGTAATAATCAACGTGATGGACGGTACAAAAATTTATTTGTCAGCAAACTGAGCTGCTTTTTTCGATATTTCAAACGTGCTATTCCCTCTTGATATATTTACGAAATTTATGTTAACATCTTCATTGAATGTTCCTTCGAAACCAAGGATCTTAGCATTTTAATATCACAACCAGCACAATGAACGTCTGCATTTGGCGCCCTCAACGAGCTTGCGCAAGAGTTCCGTTAAGGCGACTTACCAGTTCTTGGGACATGGGTGTTTTGTCTTGCATTGGTAGATGGACCTCTAGCGCTAAGACCACGCAGTTTGCTATGATGGTAGCTAGGACTAGATACTCAAACGGAGTGCAAAAAGTAGGTTAAGGAAACCAATGGACACGACAAAACAATATTGCCACACTTTCAAATGATAAACAATGCCCGCCATACAAATTTTGCTAGAGAGATAACAAAATTTACAATCTTAATCCTACATAAAACCTTTTATACTAAAAGAGGCAATGATTGCTTTTAACATGTTCCTTGTCAACGTTAAAATTCAGTATGTCGCGACCAACTGATCAACAGTATTTGTATGTGCAACCTCACTGTTGTCACGTCATGGACATTGCGTATCTGCATAAATTATGTGCATAATTAGACAAGCTTCGGAATCGATATTGCACAGACATTAAACTACTCAATTATTACGATGCATATGGAGGGACATGTAAACAAGGGGTTATATATTGATGTCTGTCGAATTATCCATCTAAAGCTTTCATTAGGATTTACCTGTTCACTTCTGGACATTAAGGGCAAAGTTCCACTAGTTTTCAAGCGTTGGTGCCTTGAAAAGCATAATTGAAGGGGAACAATAGTGTTTCTATATATTTGTTTTGATTTCATGAGGAGGAGCAGAAAGAACCGCAAAACAACAGATCGATCGGTGTTTCCTTCTGTCTTCATTGTTAGTCGTTGCTGTTAATGTTCTTTCTGTTGCTTTTGTTACCACGAGCATAATTCCTTTACTTTGTCACAGCTGTTCATGATATTATACTGCTCTTCGTGTAACTGTCAACTAGGCCTATTCCCCTTTCCGCTCAAGACATCGACGAGATAAAGCCCCCGTCGTTAAAAGGTCAATAAGCAGTCACCGGTCATCACACAAGGTGTTATGATGATGCTGAGTCACCAAGACCGATATTTGTCTCCTGGGATGTTGAAGAGGAGGATACATCCCTCTTCCTTTGCCATCATCCGGCTAAGAAGAAGTTTAGAGGGAAGATTTGAAACAATGGGATCAGGGGGCGGATCCAGGGGGCGGATCCAGGGGGCGTGGGGGGCGCACTCCTCCTTTTTCACCAAAGAAATTAAAATATATTTTTTAAAAAGAGGAACAAGAGGGAGAAAGACAAAAGGGGGGGGGCATACTGTCTGATATTGCACCACATAGCGCATAGAATCCAAAAATGGCCCGGACCCCATCACGCCGTAAGGGCTTCGCGCTACGTATTCGCGGGCATTTTACCATTTGCTGCTTTCGTTCACGCACCCTTTTTGGAAAGTCCGGGATCACGCCCTCCCCCCTTTTGGGAAAATTCTCGATCCGCCCCTTGGGATGAAATCATGAAGTTTGAGAGCGTGGGAATTAGGGATGTGTTCCCTAATAGATTTTGAAGTTTTGGCTGAGTTTAATGTTCTGTTAAAAAAAGTGACATTCCCTTCAATTCAAATCATAAAAAATTTCAAGGCTACAAGTCCAAATAATTCTCCAAAGACTGTGTGCTTTATTGTTTTTAAGATCTAAAACACCGAAAAATTGTCAACACGCTTAATCAGAATTTTGTTTGCTTTGCAAAATTAGAATTGTTGCCTCGTTTGATTCATTTTGGTTAAGTTATTTTACATTTACGATCTATGTCGCGTTGCAATCGTGACCCTCTAATTTATGTTTTCACTATTTCCCAACTTCCCGGTCAGATGTAATGTTTACTGACAGGCCTATTATAGATATTTAACTCTTAATGTGCCGACGTGAATAAACGAATCCACAGGCACAAGACATAATAACCTTTATAAACAATGTTATCTTTTAGTTTCTAAAACTATTTTTATTTAATAGCTTATTAAGCGTGAAAAGAAACATGAAAATGGTAAATTTGGATAAGACGTCAATATAATCAAAAATGAGGGGTAGAGGCTCCAGTTATCGCTGCATAGTTGGAGGAAGTGTGCGAGCCAACTGACCCTAAACCCACATCCTTGTTTAGCCAATTACGAAACAGAAAGCAGACGCAGACAAAATGGACATCTACAGCTGGGAGAGTGAAATGACCCGAAAATCCTCAGTTCCTCGTCACACAAATTTTTCCCAGAAATTAGCCAGTGGATATGCTCTGTCCGTCAAGCGTCATTCCTGTGTCGCAATAATGATCATCAAAAAGGGTACCAGACGCGGTATGCCTGGTCTGGAAAGTGCAGAATGTCGCTCACGTACCACGTACGTGTAGGCCTACCTGTACAAAGTTGAATCCAGTATGCCACCAACAGACTTAGGCGCCATATTGAATTTCAGTACCATCATTAATTCCGAGTATTTCTTCAGATATTATAGCCCAGATGAAAATCCATTAAATCTTCCGGAAAACAGAAAGATTTGACAAAACTCAGGCGTCTGACATTCTAGTTTCCTGTATAACCGTCGCTTCCTCAACCAACCGTGCAACAAGCAAGCGGATTTTTCCCGCTTCTCCTATAGTCAAAATGGTCGGGTCTGTTGGTGAATTACGAGACAAAATTACTGAACACGGCGTAAATGCCAAACTATGCCCGATAGCGCTTGGGGTTCAGAGGCCGTCCAAGCTTGCAATATTTCAAAAGAAACCATGTTAACATGAACATACAAGTTGTGTTTCCTAGATTACGTAAAGTGAATGATTGATTCGATATTCATTTTATGGGCATGTTGAGTTGAGTAAACGATTTGTAATGTGATCTGGGAAAATCTTTCACATTTTTGTTATTTTATGCATATAATTAATGAAAGCTCTATGCTGTTGTCAAAATTGTTTCATTCGGATTCTAGGATGTCTATAACTGAAGTTTACATGCTACCATGATCAATCTTTAAAGTTCCAACATTTTACTGAGTTTATACGAAAAAGGAAATGGACGATAACAAATGTTACCGCAGGCCTATAGTATGCAAAAAACGGAATTTGTATAAATATTTCAAGAATGACAATTAAGATATTTATTTAAAAATGGAATTCAAACGTCAAATAATCCAATTTGGTGAGACGACCTTGAAAGGCCATTTGGTAAATTTACACTAATAATCAACCAGAAACAGCCGAGTTAAACATAATTTTCAATTCCTGCCGGTGATCGGTTTTATTATTTCAATTTTAAGAGCATACAAAGATTAGTCTTATTGAACCCCATAGCCCTCCTAAAGAGTGAAAATTCAAAATGAAAAATTTTGAATGCCGTGAAGTGCATCATCATAATTTCAATTTAAACAGCGTCCACGGTCCCAACTCCCAGCATACTGTTTATAAACTCGAGCAAATAAATAGTTTGGTATGCGGGTTGATTGTAAAACAGCAGGGGGTGACAAGTTGCTTCCCTACAGACATGTTGCTTTTGTTTTCAAGGAAATGAAATCGCCAGCCCGGGGGTTGTCATGGGGATTCTTTGCAGGGTGTAAAAAATTGCCAGAAGAACAGTCATTTTTTAACCCCCCCCTGACCTACATACATGTATATGTCATAGGGTATAAGAGGTAAAGGCTATAACGCAACGTAACTGGATTGTATAACGAGAACAATGAATAGTTAACAACATGCAAAGGTTGCAGAAGGATTGTAAAGTTCCAGTTTTTTCCTTCTGTTAATTAAAACCTTTATCAATGAAAAACAAAGCGGATACGAGGGATAACGCAACTTCTGTGATTTAGCTATAAAACACTGCAATTCGGTAAATCAGTCCCACCCACACGATTTCACAAATAGAATGATTCCATCTAAATGTTAATTTATTCCAAGGAAATGTCCAAAGCTGAACCAATCTAAATAACATAGCACTGAACCCCACGGAATCTTGACAATGATGCCCCTTCGGCAGTTTTGGTCGGGCTCGTGACAAAACAACATCGAATGACAAATCGAGGTGGGAACGTGCGTTAAATGATCAGGGTATAGGCCTATGCGACACTTAAACAAACGGAAACGTGCTAAACCTCCCCAAAATTTCACGAGACTACGGTGAAACCTCGTCAGATGCACGAATCGGGGGGGGGGATCGGCTCATTTAATGCAGAAAGGTTTCGGTTCATTTGAAAGTATAAATGCAATATTCACTGCTTGCAACCTATGTCAACAAAGAAAATTATTATTGTATTAAGATTGTACTTTAATTCAGAAGACTTAAATGTGTCCGAATTTCGTAAGGTCCACATTACAGCATTACAGTTGATGGTCAAAATGAAAACTGTGGGTATCTTTAGGGGTTAATGACACTTGACTTATGAGAGGCGTGGTACTAGGAACTCGGCAAAGGGGGTCTGGTTAAAAGGTGTCTCTCAAATGGCAGGGATTAACAATGAGGCATAAATTCGCAATCGTTCTTGTTTCAACATTGTGTTGCCGAGTCAGGTACCAAAGTAGACTTTCATGAACACTCTCCTTACAGAGTCCAGTGACCAATCCGATGCTATTACTGCTTTCAAAAATGTGCTAAACAGGGACAAGTACCGGTACTCTAATAGGGGGCGTATTTAGCCAAGGAATTTAGAAGAAATGTTTCAAGTTTTGCATATTTCAAGGCTTTTAATGTAGAAAAAAAAGAAAAAAGGGGGAAAACTAAAACCAAAAGTAATTTACACAATCATCAAACCATTTCAGTTTTAACAATGAAAATGTTGGTATACACGTACAACAATACGATCCCTGAAAATGAGCCGTCGATTATTTCAAATTAGCTCACTGACCAGACCTCAGAGCTTGACCGAGTGCAAAACGGTTTCAGGGATACTAGGTTTAAACTTGCGTGTCTGGACGAAAATGTCACCGTAGACATGATTGATCCATTGTCATGACTGTAAGGAAGCAGATACGGCGTGTTCACTGATAACCAAGACAACGTGTAAGAGTCTACCTGGGTCGGTGGGCGTCATCAAACACAGGCACTTTACAAATATCAAGTCGTTTTGCAGTGAGGTAGGCCCAAATGACATTTTGGCGTTCCAAATTGGGGGGGGGGGGATTTCTGGGAGAGGCACAGCGTTGGGGAATTCCATATTGTACAGACTTTCTGTGGAATAAAATGAATTTGGGTAGAAATAGTAAAATGAAATAATAAATTACGGGCTTTACAGTGCAGCTGACTTGCCAACTGAAATAACTAAAATGATGTGACAGGCAATTTTCGAGATTCGAAGAGTGTGACATCCCAACAGAGTGAAAACTCAGGCTGAATTAAGTCTTACGCGTGAATAAGTATTATACACACATGTATTATACTTAGTTTGCAGTTTCCACATGGTTGAACCTAATTTTCACGGAAACCTTACAAAAGAAAACGGCAGTGCAAATATAAGCATATGGCAGTGAACAAAAAAACACCGGCGAACATTACTCATAACCTTGCAGACCAAAGAGAAGAAAGAGGCTGAAAATCAACAATTTGTGTTTGAAAATACCTTAGAATTACCACCTCAACCGTTGTTATTTATTGCTTTTCTGCCCCCCTCCAAATAATAACAATTCTTCGTGACGCCCATAACAACACACCAAGACATGTGAATGAACATATCGGTCTTTGAAACAAAATCAATTGTCGACCTTGTATCAACTATTCTATTCGAAACATCACTGGACTTCTAACAATCGAGGTAAATATCGAGAAAGAAATGGAAATCTTGATGTTGATAACACGCGAATTGGACATTCATGGATAAATTCACCCGAGATCAGAAAAATAAGTCTTAATCACAATGACCATTAACAGCTGTGCTGAGGGACACGTCCACAACGATCGGTGTGTGGGTATAGGCCAGAGTGGTTTCACACGTGCATACAAAAACAATGGGCCATGATATTAAAAAACAGATACCACGAATCGGTAGAAAGCCTTCCGCATGAATGAGCGTTATCCGTGGGTATATGTATGGCCTCGATGTACATGACGTAGATATAATAATGCAGAGGACACACTGTGAAGTATACCGGCATTATTAACTGCGTTGTGTAATTAGTTTGGTAAAGGAACTGGGATGAACAAAACTGCACTTGAGAATGGCGTGGTACACAAGGGAAATGACAGATGTGTCATTTCATCAGGGCGAAACCAGTAAGTGCGTGTCCTGGCTCGAGATCAGCATGGATAAAAACATTGCCAACGCCTCTTTTGGAGACCACGATCTAGCCCCTTTAAGAAGATCATATATTACGTTCTTTCACCTGAAGTGACTCCAGGTCCTTTTTATCTGTCATGCACCAATTCTATCACCACCCACTTTGATTTCCGTGTTTTCTGATTAACCTTTTGGAAATGTCCCCCACGGGTAAAACCTGAACATTCTTTGTTGTCTGAGGGAATTCAGAGTTGACTTTAACTGGATAAAAGTTAAAAATTATGTGTTCTGGAAAGCTACAGCCTCTCATAAATACCCTTGAATTGAGCAATGGGTCATTTCATACATCAGAAGGAATAGTAGAAAAGAATAACAAATTGAAATGAACTCTTTGGGATTATTACCTGAATAAATTTACTATACAGCATGGAAAAAAATCATTCTGGATATAGATGTAGCATCAGCACCACATTTTGTGCTCAAAATTGTGCAAACTCCTTTATGTTACACGGCGTTTGTTCTCTCTAAGCGGTGATATTTTATTCTTTAAACATGCTGCCCGTCGGTTTTTACAGCATGTTGGAAATGATTCTGAGATGAGTGAAAGCAAAAAGCTTGGAACGTAGTTGGGTAAATAGTAGAGATCCGGTTATTTATTTTGTGAACCTCAATTTACACACGGTAGTGCAAAGGCCTTCATGAAATTTAAGTCGATACACCAGATGTTCGTGCAAACGACGATTATGTCATGTTTGTTTATTCATGACAAATGCCATCATGGTGTCATACATGGGCAAACATTCTTTTTCCTTCTGGTTGGCATCTTAATAAACATGAATGAATGAAACGCCAATGTGTAATTGAACAGTGGTATTTTGCTGGGTTTTACCATTTGATGGCAAACATTGTTTTGACATAACAGCTGCAGAGGGAAATGAAGAGGAAAATCACCCTGCAATATGTAAGTTTTGCAATTTGTCTGAAACCGTGAAACGTACAACCGAAGTGAGAAATGATACAGTTTTCACGCAATTAGTCAATAAGCAGCCTGAGGCATCAATTGGGTACAGTACCCTGTCTCATTGATGGACTACAGAATCGTAAGTCTTTGCAATATTATTCAGAGAGATTTTAAATTCAAAAACTTCACAAAGTTCGATTTTCAAGTAACACCAGCCTACCTGACACTTAGGCCGTATAACCAAAAGGCTAAGGTAAGATGGGATTTCTTGTACACTTGTTTAGGGCATAATGGGTGAGAAAATATACTGACGTTTGCCCTTTGACAGTTTACCCTAACTTGCAACAAACAGTTTTCCTCATTGAAGTGTAACCCGTAAATTTCCCGGACATTCTGATTTATACTAGACCTTAATAACATTAAATGAATTAGTTGTTTGCTATTGACACGAGCGTGGTAAATCTACAAGAGCTTTAAGAAGATAATCAAGTTGTTGTTTTTTTCAAACATATTACCCAAGGAATTATTGACATTGATATACTACAGGGAACTAGAGATATTTGGGATTGTTTGGAACTTACATTAGTTCAAATGAGCCTGTGGTTGGATTAAAACTTGGAGGTATGAGCACCAAGGAAAATCCAATTTCGAAAAATGGTGTTCAAGAGATATACATTTGCAAATTAAACGGAGCAGTAGTGTCAATATCATATCATGGATGTTGTGGATTCATTTGGTAATTTTTAATAGTAACTTAAAGCAGTCTAAGATTCTTCAAAATTCACTTACCAAAGGCCAAGAACAACTCTGTAAGCTCGCATTAAGAAGGCTCTACATTGCAATAAAAAGGATATGGCCATTCTGTCAACCACTTGGCACATCTTCTGATGAAGTTTTGCTCACTGAAGATGAACAAGGATCTATTGCTTCGCAAGACAGATAGAAAGAAGCCGACAGGTCCTTTGAGCTTCTTGGATCCCCCTCCTTTACCACCTCCGGCGTGTGCTGGTGAGGTTCCATCACCGCCAAAGCCAGGTATGTCCAAGGCATCGGAGAATGGTGAGGTAGGTGCCGAGGAAAGGGCGGCCATCCTGTAGGCATCAAAATGGAGATCAGCTCGATAAGGATGAAGGTGCTGGCAATGAGGAAGTACTGAAATTGTATACTATCATCTTGGGTTGCATTACATTATGTTGGTGATGCAATGCACAGAACTCAAAACTCTATTACACTCAGGCACAGAAGTGTCAAGACGATACAGTCTTAATAATAATATTCACATGGGAATCTCTCGCGGTGCGCTCAACACGACATTGGTATCAACTTTACAGCCCGCCATACAATTCAACGGATACAGACACTTTACACAAGCGGCTGTTCGACTTCTAATGCCTTTCGATATGTTATTCCTTCGGCCATAGTCGGAGCGTAAATTACATTTCGATTTCCCAGCAATCATTGTCCTTCCACACAGCTCACACCAGAACGATGCATAACACGATGGCCGTGGATGCTTTCCCCATATTTTTCCTTCGCGTCAGTATACGTATACGTCCTTGCTCCGTGATATCACCATTATTTCACAGGCGCGCAGCTATGCCAGACCACTTATACATATTTATAAGTGAAGTTATGCAGGTAGTACCACCATCATTATCATTATCTAGTCAATATGGTAATGCAATGTTGGGCAGAGGCAGCACGCGGGTTCAGACAACCTGCTTTATGTTAATATAGCCGAGAACACAGGGCCACCCTGCAAACGCTCGGATTAATAACATACTACGGGTGTAAGGCGAGATATATGACACCCATCACGCTTCCATATGCATGTGTTATCGTACGGCGTGTGGTGCTTGCTATCTTCTGCTGAACGAGGCGTACCAAAGCGCTTACGTGTTATGCATCAACATAGCAATAAAGCGGGCTAAGTTAATTTTTAGATTTTTGTGCTCAACAAGAATTGTTTGCTTGATATTCTGTATGAGTAAGGTTTAGTATCCTGTCCCCCATAAAATACAACGGCGTAAGTTCATGACCTAAAAGTACATGTCATTATCAGAATGTCTGCTTAAAAACCATAGTTGGTTCTTGCAAAACGAATGCAATGACTACGCATTTCCTTTTTCTCCAAATTGACGAGTGACATTTAAATACAAGCAGTAGTGATATTGCTGGTATGACTGTTTTATTGCCAGCTGTATGCTGTAAAGAAACTTTGATAATCGCATCATTCTGAACGGTGTCTGTGCTGCATTACAGTTCATAAACAATGTCAACTCGTTTATAGTAGGCTGGTATGTAAGTGATAATGATGTTTGAATTTCACGAAAAGTCATGCTGCTAAATTGCTTGGCCAAAGAGTAAACCGTTTCTGTTAGAAATGTTCTCTTTACAGATTGTTTACTTTTGAGGTCCTTATTTTACAATCCTTTGACTACGTATTGCATAGTTAGAATAAATAAACATACACAAATGTAGCGACATTTCAGGTGAAGCAGGGAAGTCACGGGAGGCAAGGGAATACCTCCCATAAACAAAATTTAAAAATAAAAAAGGACAAAAGCGGGGACAAAAGCTTTTAAAATGAAAAGGAATGAAAAAACCACCAAGCTGCTTGAAAAAAACGGCCCCATCCCATTGTTGTTAATCAATTCTCAGCTAATGAGGTCTGAGTTAATTCTCCCGGAAGAAAGTGGTTTGCCCCTTGGAAAAAAAACCTGACCACACCTATGATAAACAGTTACCGGTACATTCATCTAGCTTTGTATTCTTTTTTTTTAAGAAACAAAGAAATTTATACGGAATAAACTGAAATGAATGTATCACGAATATCCCATTTTTTATGCTTTTCGTGTCCATATCGTGTAATTTACGGTATAGCGAATAAAATTCGTAATAGTCATAAGTGATAAAATGTTTAGAATTGTTTAGGAAGCCTGAGACCATTAATTGGCGAGGACTATGTTGAATTACGTCATCCTTCGCGCTAGTAGGTCTATAAATAGAGGTGTATTTGGCACAAGGCTATGACCACCTTTACATAAATGAATGGCTAGAAACTCGCGATGGAACACCTGTTTTTGCAGAGCTTCATTATAGACACTGTCGATTGCCCAAGAAGTCCAAGTAAATATCAGATCTCATAAATTATTCCTTTAATCTTGAATTGCTGTAATGGACGTGTTGCAACCTCCTCAATCCATAACAGACATCCGGGGACTACGGACACCTGAAGATAAACAGACTCAGAGGCACTCCGAAGGGTTACAGATATAGGATTGTAATGTAGTATTTGGAAGTAGAGAAATGCAACACTGTAATGTTTTATTAATGCATACATTTTCTTGGGGTTAACAAAATACTTCTGATCCATTCCTTGTGGGAGGCTGACGCACCACTGTGTTATAGCTTTATGCTCGACACTGTTTGACTTTATAAAGCCAGACCATGCTGGATAAACAGGAAAATCCGATTATATCTCCACTTTGGAAAATACCAAAATCGTTTGAAATGTACTTCAGCAAAGCCTAAAGTGCACAGTATGTACGTTCAACAGACGAGGCAGGGCCTTTTTACGAATGCAGATCTCAAGAGATGTAGACAAAATATATTGACATAGTAAACATGACAGAGTTGACTGCCTATTTGCCAAAGCTATGCCTTACCTACGTGTTCGAATACCATCATATTGCACACTTAATAATCGATACTTGCAGCAACGAAGGCGCACGCCATAGTTTTGATTTAAAATTACAGAGGATCAAATAAAAAGATGATATTATATGAGTGGAAGTTTTGATACATGTAAGCATTTAGTATCCTAACTTGTTTGATGAAATACGTTGGGTTTTTTCCAGTATTTTTTATGGTGAGGCGTTACATCCGTCCCCCTCTATGGGGCACTTACCGCTTTATATAGAAAATCAAAACGTTCTTTTGTTAACTAAACTGTGGTTATACAATGGAATCCTCCAAACATTTGTTGGAAAACGATACAAAAAGAAAGTGAGAAAAGCATCGATAAGCAGAGAAATTGACCCTCTGACTGAACAGTGAACGGCTCCCCTGACTGGTCAACCCTCACTTGGCATCCCTTGGAAGATAATTGACAAAAAGCCACTCTTAGGACGAAATCCTGGCCCGTCCACCGAACCAAATTCATCATTCAATAACCCCTGGAAAACTTCCTTCTTCCTTCTATTATGAGCAGGCGTTGGTTGGGTTTTAAACAATCGCGGACGACAGGTACAATGCTATCAGTCGTCCCAGGTTCTCTTAGAGATCTTGCTGGGGGAAAATGCTGTCAAAGAGCCCTCACTAACCGAGCCAAATCCCTGAGGAAATTTATCCTAAACGGAATACTCACGGAAGAGATCCTTCATCAGATGAGAGGTCAGTGGATGAAGAAGCTACAGTGGCACTCATGATGTTGGCCGTGGCAGACAGGACTGACGTCCATAAACTACCTACGCCATCCTCGGGTGCATTTTCTCCAAACAACATTTTGAGTTAGTCGGTTTCCGAATCACTCAACACAAATAAAGTCCCCCGAAAATCGGCTACACAGAGAGCACAAGATCATCTGGAAAGCGCAACCTCGAAGCAACAATATAAAGTGCAGAGCGATAAATAAAGTTAGGATACGAAGTACATTGTCGGTCTTTGAAGGATGTCATCGTTGCGTTGGAAAATCCAAAAAGGCTTCGGCCTATACATGTATGTAGAATTCCTTATCAGATAAACAACAGGTACATCTGAAGATGGACGAGTGAATTATTCCTTGGCTGTGTAAAACGAAACAAAACATAAGTGGTTTCTTTGTCGGTTTAGGTAAACCGCTCAAGGTGGCAGCAACACGACCTATGGACTCATTAAAAGATGATCACTCTCCTCAAAATTCAAGTGTCTATAAGATAACACAGATGAAACTGCACACTAACAGAACACACACGCTATACGATGCCACCCGTTTTGGTTTCTTTGTAGAGAGCTCAAAATAATATCCCAGTTCGTTGATCGTCCAGTGCGAAATGGCATGCACTGTAGAACATCTATAACTAGTCGGCCATTTTGGCAGGATAACACGGTGATACTAGGATCCTTTCAACAGGGTCACGAGTACATGTATATTGTGGATCTTTATTTAGGTTGTGGCTTTTCACACACGTAACTCTTTTGTCACCATGTTTGAAGAGGTGAGTAAACTGTTACCTGACGACTGTGTGTACACAACCGCAGTGGAATATTCCTATGCTGAGATAATCATAACATAATTTTATTTCCATATGTTGCTGTATAAGTTATGTTCGAATCTTATTCTATATAATTCACAGGAATCTTATTCTATATAATTCACTGGAATCTGATTCTATATAATTTATCTGATCTCAAGACTGTGAAACAGTTTTCCCATAGTCACAACGTTTTTTCAGTACATGTATAGCTCGCTGTATAGCGAGTTATATAGCGAGCTATATTCTGAGATACCACAGGAGATGTCAAAAACTTGCATCAAAAATCGACGAATAAAAATAGAAAAATTGTACGTTTTTATGAACAGACAACTGAGGATCTTCGCTTGCAAACAGACAACGCCCTCTGTTGACTAATAAAAGAGCTGTTAACTGACGGCGGGCAGGCATGCTATTTTTAGAATTAGAATTAATAAACAAACTACATTAAAATTCATAAAGGGATTAAAAACAAAACATCTAACATCGTTTCTTCGATTTTTTTTCGCACAATTAAACTGAAGTGTCTCCATTATCCTATTAAGGACAAAGTGGAAGGAAAGCATAGTTAAAGCTTGGGCATGTCTGAAGACGTAAAAAACTCACACCGCGGAGGTAGGAAACTTAGGGCATCGTGTAACTTCGTATATCGACGACGTTTTTAAACACGTTGGGTAATAGGTACAACTTCGCCGAACACAAATGTTCGACTTGAATTTTTGTAACGTATTTGGATAACACAGAAAAAGTGATGCGGCAGAATACAATCTAGTTTCAAGGGGAAACAGATAAATCCTAAACCATTCCGCATCTTCAGATGTGACGCTTTCCAAGGGAAGGACGCAATAACCAGAAAG